ACTAAGGCGCTTTCTTTCAAAATACTTTTCAAACATACAAAGCACAAGGTGTTTTTCAAATGAGGTAGCATCTAAGAGCCCGTAGATAACTACGGATGGAAAGGGTGCTAACACCTTCCCTTTCCATAATCTACCCTTACTCAGAAATAATCTCGAAAGGTCTTTTTCTGTTCTTTTCACCATTTCCTTTGTTGGATAAAAGAAAAGTCAATGGCGACTCTTGCTTACCGTGACATTTGCGAACACAAATGCAAAACCAGTATAAAGTTAGTTCTCCCACCATATTACAGATAGTATTTTTCTTTTTCAGCTTACCTCTTCATTCCTTATCTCTTAGATTCATGAACCCAAACTAAAAACTTTCTCTCATCCTAAATATTTTTGGTCAAATTCTCTTCACTACCATCAACTTTGTCATAAAATATATCATATTTAAATCATTAAGCTCTATTTCCTTCAACCTTTTCACTTAACTCTCATTCAAACCTATTCCTCACAATATAAAAGTGTCACTGTTCCTCTTGCCTATACATAGCATCTCTCATCCAAAAATTAATACATTGTGTATGCATCTGTTGTTTCTTTGAATTTGTCATTGTCACAACATCATTATTATTAGAGGGTTGCACAACTATCTCTCAAATTCCAACTATTTTGGTTGGAGCATTTTGTCAAACACCTTCCGTGCAAGTTCATTTTGAGGAATTCTTAATGGCTCCTAAGATTTCAAGAGGTAAGGGTACTTGTATAGGTAAAAACAAGGTTGGTACATCCTCAAGGGCATCAGAATCAGTGTTCGATTTGGTTGACAAAGAGAAATTGGAGTTCTTTGACGAAAAGTGTTGAGGAAGAATTGTGAAAAAATGAAACTATTACAAAGTAAGGACTGCTGAAGACCTTCACATTCCTGAGGTTGTGAATCAAATCAATCATCAAGAAATTAACTAATTTTTGCAGTTGACTCGAGATTACAATGAAGACTTTATTTGAGTGTTTTATGTCGGGTCTGATAAGTGTAGCAAAGTTGATTTCAGTTTTCGCATCGGAGGTAATTCTTACACTTTTACAAATGATATATCTAAATATTGTTTTGGCATCACTATAGGAAATGAGCCATTGGTTAGGAATTCAAGTGTTCATTCTGAATTCAAATGGAGAATTCATTCAAATGAGCAGTTAAAGGCACCAAGGGATGATGACAACAATGAGGGGATTACTACGGGGGAATTAAAAGATGTCTCACATATTGCATTGGTTTGTTACGCACATATTGCATGCTAAAATTGTCAGCTTTTCAAGAGTTGATAATGCCGAGATACACCTTGTATATCTTCTTCTCAATAATATCAAGATAAATTGGCCATATTATTTCGTGCTTCGGATGTTTAGCATCAAATCATGCAACAAAAAAACTGCCTTCTACTTTCCTTCTATGATTGTCAAGATACTCAACTACTTCAACATTATCATTCTAAATTTGATGTATGTCTCTCCAAGTGCAACTTTAGAATTCACTCAACGCACTCTGACCAATATGAGATACATATGGGATACACAAAGGGAAGTGTATTATTATCTAGTACCATTGTCAAAAAGAATAATTTAGAATTTTGATGATCCCAATGAGTTCCATGACTTTGGTGATGAACAAGGAATTGATGACTATGCTGAAGATATTGGTGGGGTTCCTCAAGGAGATGTTCCAATGTCTGATGCAAATCATGATACAGATGAAGCCTGGTTGAATGCGGTTGAGGTTTAACAACATGAAAATGAACATCCTTAAGGGATAATTAGCAACACAATTCTTGGACTGGACAAGGAGAAAACTACAGGGGGTATGATGCAGGTTCCTATGTCTATGGTTTTGGTTCTCAAGACAACAGGTATTGATCTGATGCTGGAAATAATTATGAGGTTATTTCAATGCTTAAAAATATGTTGCTTCAACAAAATCAGCGATATGGAGAAGAATTACAATGGCGAGCTGATTTTTAGGCTGCTCATAATGAGCAATTTAGACTTGGTTATGAGAGATTAAATTCTCAGGACACAAACTTTGAGATATTTGCATCAGCTGCTACAGCATAATTCAAGTCCATTCAAGATGACATCCACAAGAACAATGGTGTTGTCCAAGGCAAGATCAACACTTGTACTCCACTCTAGTTCAGAACCATGAGGAGGCATCTAAGTTTTATGAAGACATGCGTAGGGGTGGAAGAACTTATCACATACGTAATGATGGACCTAGTGGGTGTTGATGTGTTGTGTCATTTAGTTGTTGTTATTTTCATTTCATGCTTTTCATATTTTTCCCTTTTATGTCTTTGAACAATACGTTGTTTGGTTTTGATGTTAGAACAATTTGTGCAACTTTGGCTTATCCATTTGTTGTTGGATAATTTGTTTTGCAATTATCTCTTATCTATTCTAAATTTTGTATCATTTTGTATATATGGGTGTATGTGTGAACACTCTTACTTTGCAAAAACGCCTTTGTATGATATATCGGTTGTTGTGTAAAATTATGATAATTCTAATGATGTACTTTGTCTCTTTTTGATGTTGTCAAAGGGGGAAAAAGAATATGAGAGATGAAGATTGGAAGCACACATTCAGAAGGAGCGTCAAATGAATACACGAAATGCATCGTCACAGTTTTTCCATCATAAAAAAGGGAGAGTATGTGAGTGCAACTTGCCTCTAGATATGTTTTGTATGATGTCAAAACTACAAGAACATAGCATTTATTTATAATGGACGGTATATCCGAGTTTATGTGGCACCATGTGCATTTAGCTATTTTAGAAATCATCTGAAACATATTTGAAATTGGTCTCATTCATTAAAAATCATTTTCTTCACAAAAATGCACTGCATGTGCCGGCACATACGTGTTTCAGGCTGGCACATGCAACTCAATATTAAATCCTGTGAAGTCCTTATGGCATTGGCCGACAGATGTTATGTATAGTCCGACACATTTCCTACCATATTAAAGATTGTAGCCACTGACTTTCTTAGTCCGGTACATACGTCTTCATAGGCCGACACATACTAATGATTTTGTGTCTATGTGTCGGCACATTCATGTTTCAAATCGGCACATATTGATTGAATGGGTCAAATTTTCAATTCTTCTTTATTCCGAAAATCACCTATTTTCCACCAAAGCACCACAACTATAAATACATCATGCATGCATCATTCTAACTTGATGAAACTATAAACACTTACTTCAATTGCTTTTCACCTTCAACCTCCAACCTATACATACACACTGATAAATCACACATAATCATCTTTTGTTGGGGTGCCATCTAGGCGAGGTTTGATAACGTCTATTTAGGTTCTTGTGTATCCGAGAATATTGGGTTGAAAATTGTAGGGGGTTTCATCCGAAAAAATATAGGGTTTGTCCTCCAAGATCTTTGGTAGATTTGAGGGGGTTTTTCAACACTTTCAAAAGAGGATTGCAGCCAAGTGAAAAGCCTTCAAAGTTTGGTACCCAATGAAGTAGCGAGAGAACGGTGAATTAAATTGAAAGGGCTTGTTTTCAATGGGTACAATTTATCGTGCGTGAAAGAGCTTTGAATTTTGGTACCCAAAGAAGTAGCAAAATTTGATAAATCAATTGGCAGCTATTGTGTCTTGGTTTTTCTCATGATCAAAGGAAGAGAAGGGGTTGAATCAACATCAAATGGTTGTGTTTATAGGGTTTCTTTTGGAACACTTCTTTTGTAATCAAATATTTCCTAGTAAGAAATTATCCTAATTCCAAAGTGGAATTGGGGGGAGATATAGCCATAGCGAGGTTGGTTGATGAACTTCCTAAACAAATCCTCATGTCACTCTCTCTTATCTCTTTACTTGCTTTATCTTTGATTAAGTAATTTGTTAAATAACATTGATTGTTTGATTGACTCATATGAATTTTTCTGTGGTTGTTTTTGTTTTGAATTGATTATTGATTAGATTATAATCACTTTTGATTATAATTGCTTTTTCATATCAACAAAACTAAAGGAAAATTTCTGAAAATTCGTCTGCACAACAAGTGTTCGACAAATTGCTTTATTCATATTTTTTCTCTATATTCATTGGAGATAGTATTGGTAGTAACTTGTTATAAATGAATAATATTGTGTTGCTTGTTTCAAGTGTATAATTTCATATTATTGTGTTGTTCATTTCATAAGGCTTAATTGCATATTCGAGTTCCAATAACTACTTTCGTATATACGACTTTAATCGATCTATATAAAAACCTTCCGCTTGTACTCTTTCAATTCATTTTTAAAACTCCAATTTTAGTTGGTACTTTGGCTTGGTGATCTATTCACCCCCCCCCCCCCCCCCCCCACACACACACACACACCCACCTCTAGATAAGTCGCTATAATCTAACACCCTCAATATAAGCTACAAGAAATAAGCAATCCACAACATCCAAAACTAAAGACAAACAATATTAAGACAAACACTAAAGACAGTGAGTAAGTGCAACAACAAAATATGGTAGCCGACATAATTCAATGCACCGAGTTGCAAAAATGGAATGAATTTTAAAGTCGCTTTCACCTTCTCATTACAGTCAAATGTGTTGTTTTTTTGTAAAGCAAAAGCAGCATAGGCTCTCATGCGTCAAAAAAATATCATGTTATTGTCGTTAAACGCTGGTGGTCTGGCTAAAACTCCAAAATAAATACATACTCTACAAGGTAGAAAAAATAGTCTCGTATAAACAACAATATTGATAAAGCAAAAGTTGGCACAGAGCTCTAAAGTTAACAACACTTGAATCATCAACGTAAAATATTTTATAAAATATCAAAAAATATTACACCCAAGGCAAAAGAATCCTGGGAAAAGTACAAGAAATAAGCAAAACAAGCAAAAAGGAAATCAAGTCGGAGCACTTGAAGTCGGGGCACCGAGATCACCTTCCTGATTCACCCTAGAAGTGGACTTAAATGGGTCCAGCGCCTCAACGGAGATCACAACATCTGAGTAGAACTTCCTTGCCCGCTCAACCACTTGTTCTCGGACTTGAGCAATTCCTGCATAGTATATTGAAGAGCATTATTGAGCGTATGTCTTAGACCGACCACCTCATCTTGAAGGGTTTTCAAAGCCTCTGCATATTTTTGGTACTTTTCCATCTGGCATGCCTTTTCCCCAACAGAGTCAAAAGAAATCTTATACCACTTCTTTACATTTTGAGGACATCTTTCGGCTCGGTCACACGGCTGCCAAGGAAGAAGGAGAGCTGTATATTTTAACTGCCTCTTGCAAAGAGTTAATAACTTTAACTTTCTCTAATATCGTAACAAGCTTCGTCTCGATATTAGTACGCACTTCAGCTCCAGAGCTTCAGCCTTTTCTATCCAAGCATCCATATTCTTAAAAGAACTACCTATGGCTAATACATCACCCAATCCAGCAGAGACGAAAGAAAAAACAGATGAAGCTTTGAACATGTTGTACGCAAGCTCTGAAGCCATTTTCATCTTAACCCCCTCCAAAAGATTATGGATGAAGGATAAATTTGACGTTGAGACAATAACAATAATCTCCTTAGGAATGCTTGGTAGTCAGGAGGATAAAATTTCTAACATATTTATAAAAGGAGTTTCCTCCCTAGAGGCATCGTCCTCGACTACACGAGTCTGTTTTAGAGAACACTCAATCTAAGGAGATTATTGTTCCTTTTCTTAGTCCCTCTTAGTCTGAACCAGAGGAAAGTTTGGTTCTCCCATCATCAAAGTGGATGCGGAATTTGCAAGATGATCCACCTTGAGCATAGGAGTCGAAGCTTCTATAGTTAGTGTAGGATAAAGGGATTATGCAATAGTAGGGGTAGAAGAATAATTATAGTATTCACCACAGCTAGAATACCTTGGGTATTCCCAAAAGGGTATAACGTGTTCAACTTGCTTATTTTATTCATGATATCTGCAAAACATAATCATGCATGTCAAAAAAAGTATGAAGACTCTACTCTCACCAAAAATCATGTTCCTCTCTTCAAGAGTAACTACGCTCAAGATAAAGCAAGTATTAATATGCATTTTCCTTACTTAGGCAGGGGGCACCTTACTAGGGCCGAACCGTTCCTCATAACCAAGTCCCTAAAACCAAGATTGAATTTTCTCCTTCATTATCCCCTCGTCCAAAGAAAGAGAATATGATTTGGAACAATAGGAGCCAGCATCCCGGTTAAAGTGGATCATGAACCAACACTTTGGATATGTGATCTGACAATATTTAGGAGAATTGTTAGGAAAATAACAGAAAATGGAATAAATTGTAGGAGTGAGGGGTTTCTCAAATAAGAAATGTCTCAAAAAATCACCCTCATCCAGAGTAAAGGGGTTAAACAAAGAGACGACCAGATGAAGGCGAAGAAGCCCCTAGTTATGAAAGTTGTCCAGGGAAGTACGCCTCAGACAAAAAGGTCAAATAATAAATTAAGAGAAGGTTCCCAATACTTGTGCTCGACACATAGTTGGAAGACCCTTATGTATGCCCAAGACCCCGAATGAAGTTAGGAAGGAGAAACTTTTAAATGTTTCAGCACATCTAGCTCAAATTAAAAAAAAAGCAGTTGCAGTTCTATTTTTGTAAATAGACATTCATAGATGGGAACCACGCAATCATCAAAAGATATGCATATCCTCTTCTCCTATGAAGACAAAAGGAATATCCACTCTAAAGAATCGCCAACAATAATGTCAACATTACTAAGGGCGGTCTCAGTGCTCAGAGTCGAGTGCCTGCTACCTTTGTATCCGCCCAGTCGTACTCCGATGCAACCGGCCAATGTCAAAGATTTAAATGTTCCAGTACCTCAACATCTCTAGGCTCATATCATATTGTCTACATACAAGTCTGAATGAAATCTCTAGTAAGGTCCCTCCATTATAAATTGGCTTGTACTTCCTCTTCTGACAAGATAGAAGGGGTATGTGGACCTTGGCATGATTTACTATTTCATCGATATTTGATATAAGGGCATTTAATGACCCAAAAGAAGAAGAGGTTTATTCCTCCAAGAAAGTCATAAATATCCTTTCTGACTCAAAATCATCATAGATGGATATGATTTTCGGTCCTACATGATCACTACTAAAAGAGGGATGAGAAGAATCAAGAGATGCCCCGGATGAAGTTTCCACTTTAAAATCACTCATAAATCATCATTAGTATCGCTCATCTTGACTAAAAAGTAGGAAATGTTAAAGGGTAAAGCTTGAGTTACAAAGGTACCAAGTTAAAAGATATTGATGAAGCGAGAGGAATGAAAAAGGAGAAAGCTTTAAGCAAAGCTCTGAATCACTTCTAATGATATTCTAAGGAAAAAAGGACAAATTTGTGTCTATGGAAAGTAACTCTAAGCTTTAAAGCTAAACTTTTATGAAAACTTACAAATATTTAACTCACGTTATTTATAAGCAACAGTAGTTGAAGGATCAATACCGACTACGAATAAAGATAAAAATAGCAGTGGCTAGATTTCCATTCATGGTGGATACACGCCAACTTATGTACACTCAAGTACTCTCTAAATTGTACATTCCCTTTATAGTCACATTATTGCACGTGTCAAGAATAGAGAGTGAAGCATTTCATCGATGAAGCCACATTAAATGTGCATGTTCCCTAATACTTCTTCAGAAAAATGATTTCAAGCGATTAAATTATATCTTACCTCGGACTACAACATGGAGGCTATTCAATGATGCTTAAGGCTTCCCCACACTCCTTCAATGCTTGACAAAGCCTTGGGGGCAACTATTTTAGACCCACCAAAGGCCCAATTATCAAGGCCTAATCCATATCAATCTCACTCTACTTGATCCAATATATAAAAATAGTTAACATGTAATGAGAAGGTACATAATCTCTGATTCCCAATTTCACTATACTCATTTTAAATCTTGAATTGACTTTGGCATTGAGGTGCTAACCATGTTGGTATACACTGCGCCTCCGTAAAAGAAATCGGAGCCACCGTTCAAGATTAACCATTATTCAAATCTATTAATTTCTGGTTCCTTCGGGGAGCTATAGCCTCCATTTCTGGTTCCCGAACAGAACACCTACTTTATTGAGTTGAATCAACATCACTTTTTTCTTCTACAATATTTGAACATTGAAACCTTGGTTCAATAGATTTTACTGTAGGATTGGAGTTCTCCATCTCAAACCTTCTGAAAATTTCACCGACATATCTCCTTTAATGCATTATCATATCTCTATCATTTCTTTAAAACTGAATTCTCTATCATCGCAAACTCTTTCATTGTGTTTCTTTTAAATTCACTTGTCTAATTTTCATTTTTACATGTAACTAGAAGATTATCAACTTAGAAGCATAGGATGACCACTACTTTGTTGATTATCATGCTTAAACACACACTTGATGAATTTAATTTCAAATCAAGAAGTTGAACAACAAACACCTCTTCATCTAGAGGACCATTTGGGAATTCAAATTTCACATCCTTTTGTTACAACTGAAACTTCATTTAACCCACATCCAATGCAAACTCAAACCTATTATGCCTTAACCTTACGATTACGATCAATTTTCTCTTCCTCGCACTTAAGATTTCAATTTTAGCCTTCTCAAATCTTTCCTAGAAGTATCAAGTCTTCTTCTCATATTCTCCATCATGTACATCTCACCTCTTCTCTAATATTTCCTCTCTTATGTTTTTTTCTTCTTATTATTTTTATGATACTGCTCTCTCTCTCTCTCATAGTTCTATTTTATCGCACATCTTCTTCTCTAACTTTCCTCTTTTTGTTCTTTCCTTTTCATCTTCTCTAATATCTCCTCTTTTCAATTTTTTTATTTCATTATAATGTCTTTTATATTGCTTTATGCTACTGTTTTATTTTTTCATTTCACTTTTGTCTAAACTGATTTTTGTATATTAAATGGGATATTGTTGTTCAAATATGATGAGTTTTATGATTATTTGATAATATATGATTGACTAAACACAAATTTATTTTGTCCTATATATGTGTATGTATGACTCAATAAAAATCTTGTAAAAAATCGAACCAACCGAATCAATTCGAACCACATTGGTTTGGTTTGGCTTAGTTTAATTTTATTTTTAAAAGTCAACTGAATAACACATTTTTTCTCTTGTGGTTTTGATGACTTTTAGAGTCTAAACCGCACCACAAATACCCCTATTTATTGCTATTTGATTGTGACCTATTGCAATAGATGGAAGTGTATATAAGCCTCTCACTCAATTCAACCACCCGCCCTTATAATCCTTACTAAAAAGGGAATAAAAATTATACAAATTTTATTGAGAAATTTGTTGTATATTCTTGTTTAGTAGTTAGTTGTAAGAGTTTTCTAAGAGTTAGTTGGAAATTTCTTGCTTCCCAAGTAATAACAACAACCCTTTTGTAGCATATATAAGTGCAGTTGTGCACTATGATTGAATAGAGATACACTTTGATCCAACAGTGGTATTATCACCCTAGTTCAGATCCTCTCTAACTGAAAATCATAGTTATTTAGTTACAACCATCATCCTCTACTTCTTTCACAATCATTCTTTCTCTTCACCAATCAATTGCACCATCGTGTCTCTTCTTTCTTTTTCTTATAACTCTTGTTGTTCATCATTACAATCATGATTGAACCCACAAAAGAAAGATTCATACAACCTATCATTCCAAGATTCGATGGTTTCTACGATCATTAGTCCATATTAATGGAGAATAAACTTAGATCAAAGCAGTATTGGAGATTGATCGAAAATGGCATCATGGTAGCACCTGCAGATGCTACTCAAGAATAATTGAAGGTTATGGAGGAAAGCAAATTGAAAGATTTAGAGACCAAGAATGATTTGTTTTAAGCTATTGATAGATCAATCTTGGAAACCATTCTTGTTCACAACACGTCTAAAGATATTTAGGATGTAATGCACTGAAAGTATCATGGTTCTTAGAATCTCAAGATAGCTCATTTGTAGTATCTATGTATAGAATTTGAAGTTCTTACTATGGGAGAAAATGAGACTGTTGATGAGTACTTTGCAAGAACTCTTACAAATCATATGACTACACATGGATAGAAAATGGAGCAGGTAATGGTTGTTGAGAAAGTCTTGAGGACAATGGCAACAAAGTTTAGCTATGTTGTATGCTCAACTGAAGAGACCAATGATGTGAAGACCCTTTCCATTGATGAATTACAAAGCAGCTTGCATGTGCATGAGCAAATAATGAAGGGTCAAATGAATATTGTTGAGGAACAAGCATTAAAGGTGTCTAATGCATGAAGAGGTTCATGGAGAGGCTGAGGAAGATCCTCAGGAAGAGGTTGCAGTAGAGGAAGACAAAGTAAGGAGTTTTTGGAATGCTTCAAATACCACAAGCTAGGTAACTATCAAAGTGAGTGTCTTAGATGAGAGGAAAGTACAAACTATACAGAGTTTGATGAGGAAGAGGAAATGATTATAATGGCCAA